CCAGATTTGTTTATATTTTACAACTGAATGAAAATTTGAACAAACTAAAATTCGTCCAGAGTAACTTGAATAACCTATATATATATATATATATATATATATATATATATATATATATATATATATATATATATATATATATATATATATATATATATATATATATATATATATATATATATATATATATATATGGTGCATATATAGATAACTTTTGATGAAAAATTTAAAAGTTAGCAAATGATCACAAATTATCTGAATTTGCAGCTTACTTCCAATATATGTATATGTGCTGATAATCACACAAGAAAAAATATAGCACGAAGTTCCCAAGCGCTATCGTTTAATTCACATCTTCAGGTATTAGTACAGACTTAGGAGTAGTGCCTAAAAACGCTAATATAATTATACAGTAAAGAAAAGTGCGATCAAGTCCCTAGGAACAGCAGGTGTCCACCATATTCAAGTAGTGACCCAACCCTTTCATCTAATTACAAATCTTATCACAAAAGTTTTAAATTTGTTCATGCTATTACTCAAATTCATGTAGACAGTTTCGGTATGTTAAAGAAAATAAGGATGGAGGAAACTGTATACTAGGCAGTCCCGTTTACACCCAACGTATTCTAGTTATTGATGAAGTTCGGTAATTTGTCCCACTTATCCACTACTCTATTTACAAACCAGTGCTTAACTATCTCACGCTTTAATTTAAATTTGTCTAATTTAAAACGATTACTACGAGTTTGCTCCTGGTTGGATAGTTTGATTACCATTATTTATCACACTTGCTTAACACTGACTTCCATTTATACACTTCGATCATATCTCCCTTCACTCTACGTCTCTGGAAGGAGTGCAGATTCAGATGCCTTAAATTCATCTCTGTACTCAAGGTTCCTAATGCCCAGGATTTGCCTTGTCATCCGCCTTTGAATGCCTTCCAGGGATTCTATGTCCATTCTGTAGTACGGTGACCAGAACTGAAGCGCAAGATATAAGGGTACTTTTAGAATAAACTCACTAGTCTTGTAACTAACACTACTTTGTATGAACCTGAGTACTTTGTTAGCCTAGTTTCAATCAAATATGCATTATTGTCTTGGTTTAAGATTCCTACTTATCATTATTCCTAAATCTTTCTCACAGTCGGATTTCTCTAAAACAATGTTGTTCATTTGATATCTAGCCTCTGTTTACATATCATAGACTAAGTACTTTAAATTTGTCTACATTAAATTAATTTCATCCGTCATTTTTCAGACCATGCGAAGTTTTTCTTCAGACCTTCCTGTAGTTTTGTGTAGTCCTCGTCAGATTTAATTACACACTTTATTTTAGTGTCGTCAACAAAATTACTTATGTTGCTATCTACGCCGATATATATATATATATATATATATATATATATATATATATATATATATATATATATATATATATATATATATATATATATATATATATATATATATATATATATATATCATGTAGATCCACAATGGAAACGTGGATAAGATAAATCCTGTGGTTGGTGTGTGGATTAGTGGATGTCATGTTTTTTTGACCTGGCATCATGTTTTGTAAGGTCACACTGTGTACATAAGCTCTCTCTCGGTCTTTGCAACTCAGTTGCCTCTGAAGATGTCTAGAATAAAGACGAATGCAAAGGTACTCCATTGTTTCCCTTTTCCCTGTATGATATATATATATATATATATATATATATATATATATATATATATATATATATATATATATATATATATATATATAATGAATAGTAAAGGTCCAAGTACTGAGTTTTGGGATACTCCACTAATGACGTTACCCCAATCGGATAAAGTGGCGTTAACGCTCACTCACTCTTTCCTGTCCTGTAAAAACGCCTTAATTCATTTTAGAATATCTCCTCCAATTCGACGAGCCTCTACTTTTAGTATTAGTCTTTCGTGGGGAACTCTATCAAAAGCTTTGCTAAAGTCGAGGCACAGCAGACATTCCACCACCAGCGGCATACAGCGAATATGTCATGTTCCCAGACGACATAACCCAAATAGTATCAAATCCAGGTAAATTCACAAATATGATGGCCCACCACACAGCACTCGCAATAAAAAACACAAAAGACTTTGAAAAGAAGTGGAAAATAAAAACAAACCAAACCAAACTCAGGATCATCCCAATAGCAAAATTCAAAACCAGTCCTGTAATAGACGATGACGAAATTTATTCATACGAAACAGAAGGCAAGACGCTGGGGCTAAAGGTAACGAAAAGAGGATATATAAACTTTCTGAAAAATAAAGCCAGAGCCACAAGGGCAAGACTTGCGAAAATAAAAAGATTGAGGAACCTTGGCACAAATAACAAAAAGAAAATATACACAACAGTGGTAAAATCAACAATGGACTACCCACCAATTCCACTACACACCTTGAGCAAAACAAGCATTAAGTCCCTACAAGTAATCCAAAATATAGCCTCAGATTTATTTACAACACGAAGCACACCGACCGCATTACAAACGAACTATTACATGATAGAGAAAACCTCGAAATACACAACAAGGCAAAAAATATTTGGAACAAACTAACAGACCTAAACTTAGAAACCTACCAAAACTGGTTGAATGAGGACAACGAAAGAATAACAGAACACCGATGGCTCAAAGCTCGTAAGAAAATACTAGGAGGACCATCTCTCTTACCATCTTATACTTAACGAGAACAATAAAATAAATATCACCAAAAAGATGAGAGCCCGCTACCAGCTCCAGAAGAGAACCTGGCAAGACTCTCCACCATCTTTACAAAAAATCTTTCTCTAAGCACTCTTATCCTCCTATGTGCTCAAATCTACTCCCGTGTTACTAACCTAACTAAAAAACAAATCCACCAGCTCCAAGAGAACCTGGTAAGATTCTCCAAACACTTCTAAACATAACCTTTCTATAAGCAGCACTATCTTTACTAACTGTTTCTTCTCCATAGCTCAGTTTGTTGGGTTTCGCCTCAGTTTCCTGTCCACCATTGCAACCAGAGTTGACTCCCTCAGTGATCCTCTATCCCTGGATGATTTAGCTACAGTACCGTCATCAAACAGATGAAAAATAACAAAGCCTCAGGGCCTGGTGGAATCCCAGCCGAGGTGTATAATGCAGGAAGACCTCTGCTTACCAGCCGTCTCCACTCTGTCCTGGAGAATATATGGAAAAAGGAGGAAATGCCCCAACCTTTTAAAGACGCCTCCATCGTCAATATTATAAGAACAAGGGAAACCGGTCAGATTGTGGCAACTACCGCGGGATCTTGCTGCTCTCCGTACCTCGTAAGATTATTGCCCGAGTCCTCCTAAACAGACTTCTTACTGAGGCGGAAAATTTCCTCCCAGAATCTCAATGTGGTTTTAGACTATTACTTGGTACCATTGACATGATTTTGCTGCCCGCCAGATTTATGAAAAGTGCAGAGAACAACGTCGTGACCTATACGTGGCCTTCATCGTCCTAACCAAAGCCTTCGACTCCGCCAACAGGGAAGCCCTCTGGCGGGTCCTCAACCGTTTTGGCTGCCCACCAAAATTCATCGTCATTGTGAGGCAACTCCACGATGGCATGAACGGCAGTGTCCTCCTCAATGATACCCAGTCTGAGTTCTTGCCCATGCAAACAGGGTGAAACAAGGATGTGTACTGGCACCAACTCTCTTTTCCATTTTCTTGGCTGCCTTCCTTTCTCGTGCCAGTGCCAATTTAGCCAGCGGGGTGGACATCAAGCACCGGATGAAGGGTCTTTTCAACATAAGACGACGACAGGCAGGAACAAAAGTGTCTGCAGCTTTCATTACTGAACTTCAGTATGCAGATGAATTCACCCTAGTTGCTCACACTGAACGCGACCTGCAGGAGATCCTGAACACCTTCGCAGATGTGTAAGCTCACTTCGGTCTTGTGGCATTTGTACGTTAGACTCAGATTCTCTTTCCGCCTGCCCTGGTTGAGACACCCCGCTACCATCCACCTAGCTTAACAGTACTACCGTCTCTAATGTTATACACTCTCGGTATCTCGGCTCCCACCTGTCCACCACCGTGGACATCGATGAAGAGATTCAAATTCGGATTAGATGTGTTTTTCAATCAAGTCTTTGGCAGACTCCGTACCCGTGTCTTCAGTTGTAGGGAGCTGAACTTATCTACAAAGTTACACGTATATCGAGCAGTGATCCTCCCCACCCTTCTATATGGCAGCGAGACATGGGTCACATACAGGAGGCACTTCAAGGCACTTAGAAACTATCACCATTGTAGTCTTCGTTTCATCCTCCGTGTTCACTAGCGTGTTCGCTGGGAAGACAAGAGAACAATTACCAGTCTTCTCGCTGACACCAACTGTAGGAGCATCGAGGCTACCGTTATCCATGAGCAATTATACTGGCCTGGCCATGTTACCCGCATGGACGAGTGTAGAATGTCAAAGCAGCTACTTTACAATAACCTAACGAATAGAAACGTAATGCTAACGGACAACTGAAAAGGTATAAGAAAAATCTTAAGACAAACCCGAAAATGTGCCAAATCGACCCCTCACCTTGGAGACGATTGCTCCACATCCTAATGCTTGGAGGAGCACCACACAAGGTGATAATATTTTCGAGTTAGACCGACTTCAAACCAAGGTAGAGAAGCGCCAATGCAGGAAAGCCACAGTGCCTGTCCCTCCCGCACTAGATTTAACCCTCTACACGTGCAACATCTGTGGACGGCCCTGCCGGTCCCGTATCGGCCTCATTAGTCACCTCAAAACTCACCAATGAAGGTGACATCCTTAATAACTCATATCATTGTATCATAGCTGAATGATCGTCGTACTCGATTCCAAGTGACAGCAAAGTAGTCTTAGTAGTATATAATTTAATGTTTTTTTAACAATACCTTGCCCTTTCATATACGTTATTGTCTTTTTACAAAATAAAAACAAATATTCTACTTTACCTCCAGTGATACATGAGAAGCAGTGATGGTGGTGACGTCCCTGATGTTGTTGGTTGCTGCTGGGGTGAGTGGGGGAGTCGCCCTTTTTCCAACGTCTGATGGTAAGTATATACTTGAAGCTTGTTATACTGCACTAACTCGATATCCAATCAATCCGTCCTCATATCTGTGGGTTGGCGACCACAGTTCTTCACTCTAAAAGTGTTCGGACTGTTTTTACCAATTTTCCAAGATTTCGCATCACTCTGGTGACCCATGTTTTAATTTCATTCATCCTTCCCAATCTCTGCCTCCCCTTGGCCCTCCTACCCTCAAGTTTGCCCATTAATGATAATCCCTAATTATATGACCAAAGTATCTAATTTTTCTTTTTCTTTATATTGCAAATACTTATCTAAAAGTGTAACTGACAGATTAAGAATGTTTAATGAAACTATAAAATATTATGTTCCTACTGACAATTGAATTACAAGGTAATATTGAGGAGGCATTGACTGGGATAATGCCTCCTCAGTCTTACCTTCTAATTCAATTGTCAGTACGAACATTATAGAATCCAGTGTCCTTAAACATATCGAATCTGTCAAAATAAATTCGAGTAATGGCATGTAAAAAACGGACAATTTTGTGATTAAGAACATTTCTAAACCAGCTGAAAGTGTTGGGTCACTTATAGTGGGTACCTCCTCTCCCTAGGGACTTGATCTCACGCTCCTTTACAGTATCTATTTGCATTGTTAGTAAATACTTCTTCTTAGTCTATACTCACTTCTAAAGATGTGAATTACACGAAAGCGCTTGGGAACTTTGTGTTTTCTTTTTCCTATGTTGTTTTATATATATATATATATATATATATATATATATATATATATATATATATATATATATATATATATATATATATATAATTTATATATATAATACTGTAGATGTTAGGTGACAGGAGTTATGACATCACATAACATCACACTTGTTTCACCAAAAGATAAAACACGTAAACGTTCACGGTCATCCATAGACTCACATTTATGATACAACAGTTGCAGAATTGCATGCAAAGCCACTAGTTCCACAATGATCTTAGAAATCCAACGATGCAGTGTACTCATGGAAAAGGAAATGTGCTTTTATCAGACAAGTAGTGATCAGCTTTAGAGCTTAAGCAACGAAGGGTCAGTGCTCGACTCATATCCTCCTCAGACCAGTATATTACAGGGATACCAGTCAAGAAAAAATCACCTTAGAGGAAAGATACATACTAAGAATATCTTTAGAAGCAGCAGGAAGCCTTAATCAAATCATTCGTTCTATCTTCTCATGCCAAAAAATCATCTCCCATTCTCTTCTTTCAATAAGTAGAGCATCTCTCTCTCTCTCTCTCCCTCCTTACATCGTACAGTCGACTTTGTAGATCCTCAGTGATCAGAATTGGTCTCACTTCTTCAGGTTCTTTCTCTTGCTGTACATAAGGTGCCATATAGACTCAATTTATTGCACAATCCTCTTTTGGCCTCTTCATTATGTCGTTGATGACAGCGACTAACATGTCTACAACTATTAATGATCTTATGGCAGATAGGGCACAGAGGAAGAGAGAGAGAGAGAGAGAGAAAGAGAGAGAGAGAGAGATTATAACTATATACGATTGCCTTCAGGATATCCTTTCTTCCCTGCTGTGCTCATTATATTAATAATGTACAGTATACATGAGGTGCTGGAGTTATGATGACCTCACAAGTGAGCGATAAAGGTTGGGTGTAACCGGGGCTGCCTAGTTTGGGCTAATAGACCCACTGAATTTTCCTCCATTTTTACGTTTTTATGTTGTTAGAAAAAGCAGAGAGAGATGGATAGGGAGTGGGAGAAGAGAAGAGGGTGTGGGGAGAGGGGGAGAGAGAGTGGGAAGAAGGGGGAGAAGTGCCTTCAAAAGTCATTGCCAGAGGCTGACAGAATTTCCAATTCACTATACAACACTACCAGGGCTCAGAGATTGATTTTCTGTTCACAGTATTTATGTTATCTCTAGTGATATATTTATGGCAAATTTATTTAAAATATATAAAATTCATATTCCGAGCATTAGTAGTATTAATGTTGTCTTTCTGTTGAAGAGGTTAATCCACTCTATATTAGTTTTTCATCTTTAGGAAATATATGGAAGTGTATATTTCCCTCTTGTTTAAACAAAGAATTGCACCCAAACACTACACAATTAGCGGACATTATGTTGCAGAAGACATCAATTTCCACAGTAGTATCTGCAATCTCTCGACCTCTCTACCCAGTGCGAGCTGAGTCGCAGTTTGGGTTAAGTGTGTGATGACCTCCTCTTCTATAGACCTTGCCATAATTAAGTTTAGGCCGAACCAACGAAGGGTATAGACGAAGAAGCGTGGTCCGACCAGCACCCTAAGAGACATGTGAGAGCATATGAATGAGAGACTTCCAGCGCAGGCACGCTGTCTTTAATTCTCACGGGTGTGGTAACCATGTGAGACGATGGTCCATGAGCATAACCAGAAAGCAAGTCTGCTCCACTACCGGGAGTCTCCCGCCATACATACACAAAATTGGTTAACGAAAAACTCCACTGAGCTGGGAAAAGTGCATGGGTACAGTGTTAGTTGGAGAATATAAGGAGCCGTGGGAGTCTGCTCATCAGGTAACATGGGTAAGCTCAGGTTGGATGTTGCGTTCGGCCACAGCTAGACGGGAGGAGGCATATGAGATGAAAAAGTCATTCAGGAACAGAATAATACAAACATCCTGGGGCACACAACTGGCTATGCCATTGATCGTCAAAGCAAACAGAGAGACACTGAAGACACTGCCCTGAGGAACAGCCTCAGCCTGTGAGACGTTGGCCAAGAGGGCAGTACCTACCCTCACCCTGAAGGTACGGTCACTAAGGAAGGCTCGTATAAGCAAAGGCATCAGATCTTTAAGGCCAAAGGGCAGCATCTACATGTTAATATGGTGATATTATCTGCGTGGCTGAAAATAAATATATAATTTACTGAAAGTGTCTATTGGGGTGAATGTTCAATGCAACTGTAATTATTTTTTCAATAATTATTCTTGACAATCTGCATCTCTGATAGTTTTTTTTTAACAGCTGCAAACTTGTTTCACGTAACTGCAACCCTTATCAGTAGCGACTGTAAGTGTCCTTTTAATATCCAATACGTTTTTGCCTATTTTCATCTTTCTAGTCTGGTACGATATTTTATCTTGATTGTTTACCCAGATAAAGGACAACCTGTAAAAGGTGTCCGGAGGTCCTAGCCCAGGCGGTTGTACAGCTAATATAGTGTACACTGTAGCAGGATATATTTAATGATTTCGAACAAATGAAAACAGAACCTATCACGGGGCAGGGTAGAGGGGGGTAGTGGAGGGGGGGTGTAGAGGAGCGGGGGAATGTGACTAAAGTTAATTTAGTGCCAGTACAACACGACAAACAACGAAGTAGTTTGGTTAGTTTAACAACTTTTGGGCAAGGTTGCAGGAATAAAATACCCTTTGGGTGGAGGGAGAGGGTGGGTGTGTGGGCGCCGACTGACACAAACTTGGTTCGTCGACGAAATATTTTGGTAGTCTTTTATCAAAATTCCTTTACTTCATTGCTACTTTCCCTAGATTTTGACCAATTTTCATTTATCTTCCCCTTTCTCCCTCTAAGGCTCATTTTCCTTAAAAAAGGGAAATTTACCTGTACATGGCAGCACTACTGTAAGCGCCAGGCGGTCGCCGCAGAGAGCTAACTCATCTGAAATCGTGAAACGTATCTGGTTTTAGCTCTGGGCCTCAAGCCAAGTAAATATTATTCGTTTAATCGTTTACGAAATTATGAAATAATAATTTAATTATTATGTGGGTACTAAGGTGTTTTATTTACTAGCTGACATGTTTTGTAAGATATTCGGGAGATTAGGATAATCTTCCGGGAGTCTCATCAGACACCAGCACAAGCCGACATGCCTTGGTCTGTCAATCTTGCCAAAGTGGCCCGGTTGCGCCCGGTCGAGGAAACATCACCCCAAAATCTGAACCTTTTTGTACTCAAGAAGTTTTCGATAGCAAAAATATTGAAGGGATTACCAAAGTAGAATGCCTGCTACACGGAATTATCAAGATCACGTTCGCAGAGCTTGGACAGGCCAGACAACTCGTGGATAACTATATAATGCGACACAATAAACACAAGAAGAAGATATTACATATATAAGGAGGAAGTATAGGAACTAGGAATGCAAAGATAGGAAACTTGGTAGCGTGGCCGTATGTTATTTACTCAGCGTCAATACGCTTATCTTATTATCTCGTATGTCAATACACATATATTACTTCTTAAAGGAACACCTTGTTAAACACCTCTTCGACACAACTATTTATTAATTCACTTAATGACATGGACACATCAATATCACTATTATATCGGGGTATTAACACGTTAGGTCTAACGTTACTCGACACTGACTCTCGGACACAACATGAATGAATACACTTCCCACAGTAGGTAACTCACCCTTGGGATAGTTCTGACAAGACTCACGTGTACGCTGACGTAGGCCCAGAGGGTGCTTGGCTGAGCTGCCTCCTATGGGAGGCTTCTGCTTAGCTGGGGTCTGGTCGGGAAGTCCCCCTCCCGACCTGGGGAGAGGACGAGCGTGACTCTGAGAATCTGAATGAGAATGAGAATGGAATGGGACCGTGGACAGGACTCCCGAGCCTTTATATGGGGTCGGCCCAGCCGGCTTTTGACCTCTAACCAATTATCACTAAACTGGTTAGATCTGGACAGGTGTTTGCCTAGGTGAGGTCATGTTGCAGGAAAATAGTGCTTTGTAATTATTCCCGCCCGGGTGGGTCTTGGCCAGGTGTGGTTTCCTTAACACGGTTATGTCGTATGGTTACGCAAGTACTTAGGCCGGGGTCAGGTCTTGAACTGCGGTGTGTCAACCTGTGGTGTTAGGGTACCACGCGGTCTGTGCTGTACTTGCTGTTATACATGATGTAATTTTGGGCTGTAAGCTTTGTTCTGACAATCAATCATTACAACTACACCATCACCATCAACGGCATCGAGTTGCTGTCATATGCCTATGGCTGGGACAATCTGAAGGTGGGAGTTATCGCCCACGACGAAATAGCCCACATGGACAATGAAGAGCTAGAATAACTAGTAGACGGACAGTTCGGCGTTATCAAGAGGCTGTCCGAAACTGCGGCACTAGTAGGGCACCCCCAGACCATGCCCAAGGAAGGTCAGTTGGCCTGGGTAACCATCCCAGTCAAGCCATACATCAAGCCTACACGCTGCTACAAACACCAGAAATACGGACTACCTTTCACAAGTGCAAAGCGCAGGAGGATGTGTGCTCCAAGTGTGGAAACACCGGGCATCGCTACACCTCCTGCCCCAACCAAGAGAAGAAATGCGTACCCTATGGCAGCCCACACTCCTGCGCCAACAAGCTATGTCCCACGTGGCGGGAACAGTGCAGGGCAGCCAAGGTTGAACTCGAAAAGAAACTTAGCTACAAGGAGGCTCTCCTTACAGTACACACCCAAGAAAAAAAAGAGACCAATAAGATTAAACAAGAGACAAAGAAAGAAAAAGAGAAGAAAAAACAAGAAAAGAAGATCCAAGAAAAGACACAAGTACCAACAGCCCCTGTACCAGCAGCCCCTGTACCAAGCAGCCCCTGTACCTGTACCAGCAGCCCCTGTACCAGCAGCCCCTGTACCAGCAGCCCCTGTACCAGCAGCCCCTGTACCAACTGCCCCTGTACCAGCAGCCCCTGTACCAACAGCCCCTGTACCAGCAGACCCTGTACCATTAGCCCCTGTACCAACTGCCCCTGTACCAGCAGCCCCTGTAACAGCCCCTGTACCAGCAGCCCCCTGTGCCAGCCCCTGTACCAACTGCCCCTGTACCAGCAGCCCTGTACCAGCAGCCCCTGTACCAACTGCCCCTGTACCAGCAGCCCCTGTACCAACTGCAGCCCCTGTACCAACAGCCCTGTCCCAGCAGCCCCTGTACCAACAGCCCCCTGTCCCAGCAGCCCCTGTCCCAACAGCCCCTTTACCAGCAGCCCCTGCCAGCAGCCCCTGTACCAACAGCCCCTGTACCAGCAGCCCCTGTACCAGCAGCCCCTGTACCAGCAGCCCCTGTACCAGCAGCCCCTGTACCAACAACCCCTGTACCAGCAGCCCCTGTACCAGCAGCCCCTGTAACAGCCCTGTACCAACAGCCCCTGTACCAACAGCCCCTGTACCAGCAGCCCCTGTACCAGCAGCCCCTGTACCACCCTGTACCAACAGCCCCTGTATCAGCAGCCCCTGTACTAGCATCCCCTGTACCAGCAGCCCCTTTACCAACAGCCCCTTTACCAGCAGCCCCTGTACCAGCAGCCCCTGTACCAACAGCCCCTGTACCAGCAGCCTCTGTACCAAGAGCCCCTGTACCAACAACAGCCACTGTACCAACAGCCCCTGTACCAGCAGCCTCTGTACCAGCAGCCCCTGTACCAGCAGCTCCTGTACCAGCAGCTCCTGTACCAACAGCCCCTGTACCAGCAGCCCCTGTACCAGCTGCCCCTGCAGACCAACACCTCACGTTCTCCCCCTTCTTCAACTTTTATGAGAAACTTGGACACGAGGAAGGACAAGACCAAGACACTACTGAGTGTAAAAGCCAAGAAAAGAAAAAAAAGAGGAAGAGAAGATCTTCGCCTTTAATATATGAAGACCCATAGCAGCCCGCCCACCAGAAACCAGTAATCAAACCAAGAAACACACAAGAGACCAAGCCGACCTGAAGTAAGGAAGAAACAAAAATCAAGTCAACACTACTAGTAACTAGACAACCTGCCGCCACCAGTCTCCTACTGCCGAGTCCGGTCGTGAAATTTCCTCCACCAATCACGGCTCTCGGCCCCACTACCCCGCAAGCTGTGTTAAGCCACGGCATCTATCCTCTCCTTCTACAACTCCCTTCCCTCACCACCTTTATCCTTTCACTAAACCTTCTTCCCACCCATCACTAATCTTTGTTCGTTCGTTCGTTCCTGGCGATTCCGGGAGGCATGATAATGAACAAGTCAATCACCCACTATTACTAAATTGAAAACTAGGGATATTTATAACGTCACCTGGCAACGCCACTTATAAATGACGCTAACGGCATTACTGATATAACATGTGTTAGTCCTTATTATCTCACCGATAATTACAGATAATTGCCGATTAAGTCCAAAGAAATAATTTGGAGCAATAAAAATTAAAATTTATCCTTATTTGCCAAAAACGTCATCTGCTTTTTAAAGCAGATGACACACACTCACAAAATTGTTTTAGGTAAGGTGTCCCATCTAACAGAAGACTCCACTTAAGTTCAGACAGCAGAACAAGGCCACGTTTCCATCACTGATCAATCTGGCACTGGGTATTGTGACTGTGTCTACCTCTAGTGTGCTGGTTGAGCATGTATCTACCCATGTTTGGATAATAATGAAGCCCCATAGACACCCTTTAAGCGTATCCGACTTAATGTTTTCTCAAACTAACGTTACCTGGGCGCGTGACACATCTTCACGTTATCCATAAATGATAAAAATACGAATGGTCTCGAATCTCGAGTTCTAAAGATTACAGTTTCGCAAGGCAGGTTTCGGTTTCTGTCTCATTCTTGGTCTCGACAATCAAATTTAGATTTTGTGGCGTTGAATACATTACGGCGGACAGCGTACAGCGACAACGTTTTCCAGCGTAAATAAAATGGTTAATTAATGCTTTCCTAAAAAACCATCGACATGGGACCAGGTTTGTTCCACTCTACGAATTTTTTGCGATTTTTCCACCAAGTTTGATGAAAAACGATTGTGCCGTTTCGGCTAACCAGAACAGACACACAGACACACAGATAGACAGACAGACAGAGAGCTAGTCCTATAGTATATTAGACAAGTGATCGTGGGCCCTTCGTGCCCGGTGGCGAGTCCGGTAGTACAGTCTACCAAAGCGTGAAAGTTCTAACGCTCGTGCTGGGCTAGCGCGCAACCGCAGGCCGGCGACATCGTCTTACAGCATAAATAAAATGGTTAATTAATGCCTTCCTAAAGAAACCATCGCCATGGGACCAGGTTTGTTCCACTCTACGATTTTTTTGCGATTTTTCCATCAAGTTTGATGAAAAACAATTGTGCCATTTCGGCTGCCCAGAACAGACACACAGACAGGCAGACAGACAGACAGACAGACATATGGCTAGTCCTATAGTATATTAGATACACATTCGTTTAAAACCGAAATCACACTATATACCCATCTTGCCTATCAACATGTACTATTTTTTTGACAGTAAAAAATGATACCACTCCAGCAGTAGTGAGGGTGATGGAGCAAGTGTTGTCAACAGTGGCGTATTCTGATTACTCCATCTCCTTCCTCACGGACGGCTTTACCTCTGCCTCCACTGTTTACAAGGTAACTTGTTTTTTATTTTTGTATAAATAAAAACCTTAACACACTCTCATTTAAGATACTATAGGTGAAAATGATGGGGAGAAAATGTATATTATACCCATATATGTATTCTCACTGGAGTATCACATCCTTTAGCTGGTAGATCAATTAAGGATCCCCGGAGGTGTTGGGATCTTTGAAGTAGCAGGAGAGAGGCCGGAGATTCAGCTCTCTCTGGTGATCGATCACATAAAGCGGGTACGTTGCTTATATGTTAATTTTGAAATTGGATAATCACATTCACATTAATACTGAAACGAAAAGGTCATTCTCACATTACTCTTGCAGTTATAAAGTCATTTTTGTATTGTGTTTTCGATTTCAACAGTTACGGGAGCTAACATCACACACAACAGTTCTTGTAATAAGCGACGACCCAGCCTTCCTCGCCGCCTTTGCCGAGTGGTCCCTCAAGGGCCGCCTCCTGGTATGGTCGACGAGGCTCCTCGCCGTCACCCGCCTGACCCTCTCGGAGCTTCACCCTCTACATAGAGCTTTTTCCAAGAGTAATGCTATGTTGCTCATCTTCAAAGATGAGTCAGCAAATATCAGGTACTCGGAACTGTGTAATGCGAATTTTACTATAAATAACTATTAACCATGTTATTTCTATTCAAAACATCAACATAAATGTACATATTCCTTAACAAAGAGAATTACAGAATAATGTTCTCTCATTAGGTGCAACATGTACGTGCACCTACCTTACAGCCCCAAAGAGGCCAAGGCACTAAAAGTTGCCACTTGGACACCTCGTCAAGGTCTGACTCTTACTACCCACCTCCAGCTCTTCCCTAACAAGTTCTCTAAGTTAGTAACCTTAAAAGAAAAATTAGCCATTCTTCTTTTCTCAGGATTCAATGTGCTTGTTTTGTCTATTTCATACTTTAATTAACGTACTGTTTAAAAATCTACCCATTCATTGCCAAATAACGGTTCATGAGGATCCAATGGAAAAGGAATATGATTTATTCAACTAGTTCAATATGTAAATAATCTGTGCATTAGGATCAGCCTGGCCAACATGCATGAAACTAAAAAAAAGTCTTGTATGGATAAAAAAAGGAGTATATGATTAATATTATTATTTTTAATTACTAAATCAAGTACAAAGATTTAATGCCAATTTATGTATAGGTTCCTGAGTTGAAAATTATGATTTTTTTTAATGAAATGCAAAAACGCAATATTTTCTTTTAAATTTGTCCACACTTCTGGTAGATTCCTTCACAGGCCAACTCTGCTGGCGGCGTCGGAGGTGAACCCATTTAATAAGATAATTACCATACAGGACGCTAAGGCTCCCGGTGGGCAAAGGTCCATATATAAGGGTCCCGTCCCCGAGTTGATGGCATACCTCGCAAAAGGTCTCAATTTTTCGTAAGTGAAAATTTCCATTTAACAACTCTTGTATTTTGAGACCTAGGTGAAACCACGGTCAAAATTCCTCTATGAAGTTCTCTGTATCTACATCAATGAGATTATGTAATTACGAAAGAAAAAAGGGTGCAATCTACATAACAGCATTACACCCAAGCGATATATATATATATATATATATATATATATATATATATATGTATACATATATATAATATATATACTAATTAACTTACTTCCATACTAGGTACACATACGTGCGGCCTCCTAATGGTTTTTGGGGTGCAAAACTTAGTAATGGGTCGTGGGTCGGCATGGTGGGTATGGTGAAGAGAGAGGTAAGCGATCTGACACAGCAGGAGGGGGACGGTTGACAATGTGTCATTGACAGTTCAAATTCTTACTCTAATTTATGGCATCTATGTTATGAAAGTCCTTGTTTTAGCAAATTTAATTCGTAAAGTTTATATGAAATTTATCTATAGTTTCGATAGACATTATTTTGTGAGACGAAATTAAAATCCCACACGTCTTAATATATATATATATATATATATATATATATATATATATATATATATATATATATATATATATATATATATATATATATATATATATATGCTGATAACCACAAGGAAAGAAGAAAACACGAAGTTCGCAAGCGCTTTCGTGTAATTCACATCTTCAGGGGTGAGTACAGACTAAAGAGAAATACAAACCAAGGTGTATATATCCAGAGGAGGGTGAGACCAGGTCCTCAATGGTCAGGTATTAGGTAATGACCCTACTAATCTTTAAATAGCACACAACGGTTGGTGGTCAGGTCAGAGGATAAGGTGACCCAACCTTCTCACCTGGTTACAAATCTTCTTAATTACAAAATTGTCCAGTTTGTATATGCCATTACTCAAATTCATGTTGAATGCTTCGATATGTTTAATAAGACTTGATTCTATAATGTTCCTACTATCAATTGAATTACAAGGTAATATTGAGGAGGCATTATCCCAGTCAATGCAATGCTTGTTGTCCCTCAAATGAACAAACAGAGAATTGGATTCCTGGCCTGTCCTAACACTGTATTTGTGTTGTTTAATCCTAGTTGCTTGGGAACTTCGTGTTTTCTTCTTCCTTGTGGTTATCAGCATATACCTAGATCACGCGCACCTACAGTGATTTACTTGCATATATATATATATATATATATATATATATATATATATATATATATATATATATATATATATATATATATATATATATATATATATATATATTGATATTGATATACCAACGCAAAGTACATATTGGCTCTTTCAGGAAGTGAGTATCGGTGTTGGCCCCTTCATTTTTAGTGGGCAGAGAGCCGAAGTTGTGGATTTTACTGTGCCAATACTAATTGATTATTGGAGAATCCTGGGTGTTCGAGGGCGGCCGACAGTAGACCCTTGGAGCTTTTTGTTTCCCCTGGCACCGTTAGTGTGGGCAGCCATCCTGGCAGCATTGGTGATGTTACCTGCGGTGGTGTTCCTCATGTCATCATGCTTCTTCCCCAAGAAAGAATATCAGGAAAACTGGATACTCGTCATTTTTGGATATTCTCGCATACTATTACAACAAGGTAGATCAAACTCTGGTTTGATATCTGAAATTCAGTAACATTAATAGTCCTGTAAAATCTGACTGAACCCGGAAATTCTCGGTACGTTTAATATTTTTGATAGAATTGTAATCATCAGGGGTCACTGATATCAGATCCAGATGATGGCACTTTCCCATCATTGAGCAACTCCCGTAACTTGCATAAATCAAAGATGGACGTCGGCCAAACTGGGTCATATAGGAAAATGGCAATAACTATTGATAGGGAGATGCCAGAATGATGTTTTTGGTGTCTACATCGGGGTTTTCAGAAATGGCGGACCAATTAAAGGTATCAGTAATGAATTTTAACTGTGCCAAGTAACAGAAATTTAGTCATTGAAAAATTAGAATCTTTCCATTTGTGAAGCCAAACTTGAAAATATCTCATTGACAAAATATATCCATTTATACGTTGATTATTTGATCGATGCCGCCATGTAGGTCACTGATTCTGTGGCTGTACAATGATAAGAAAAATGCATATGTATTAAAAAGAATAGTGTTTAATTAACAACACACATTACAATGGTTTGAATTCAAGGTACTGTCTCGTAATATCTAAGATTCACCTCTTTGTCTCTTAAAGCTTGAAGGATAAAAAAATAATAATACCCAGAGCGTTCTGGGGGGACTCTTTGTGAGGGTGGCCGCTCATTCAATATCACAGCATATCTGGAGAAGGTACTAGCATCTCCAACCGGTCGAGTGTGGGTGGATTAACTCACGAAACCGACACGCTTCGCGCAAGAGAGGGGGAAGGAAATTGGCTTCTTCTGCAGCATTATCTCAGGCACATGCTACCGTACTTCTCAGCTGCTCGAGACTGGCTCTATCCCAGTTGCTATATCATATCGTTTAGCCGTGTGGTGGCACTGCATCTACTGTGTATACAAGAATGAAAAAAAATGTAGTTATTCAGCGGGATCCCTGTTCAGGTCATCTCTGCTAAAGACCACGAAAGGGAACGTCACGTAGAGCCGGGTCTACTGAGTACACTCTTAGCGTCATAACTCCAGAGGTCATCATGAACAGCATGGGTAATAAAAGGCTTCTCTCGCGTCTACTTGGCGCTTGTACCACAGGCGTTAACATACTGATGGTCGGAGAAGAAGAGGGTCTTATTTCCCATGATGAGGCAGACGTGAAAATGATGAGCTATGTCATCCAGGGAGCGCTCGAGGGCGAGGCATACTTAGCGATTTGTCCCACTCATATTCTGGATGCGGAAGCTCTAGCTCACGTCTCAAGTCCAGATGGAGAGATGGGACGGAATCATTATCGACATAAACGCCATAGCAGCTGCTCTTGGATATAAGAGCCGTCAGTTGCTCAGGTTGTACGCTGTCACAGGTTGCGATACCGTGTCATATCCATGCAGAAAATGGAAGGAAATGGCGCTCAGAAAACTGCAGGAAGGCGACTTCTCCGAGCTATATACAGTTCTCAGTGAGGAGATTTCAACAGAGGCGGAGCTGCTGGAAGTTGATCAGGGGTTCTTTCCTGCACTATACGTTCAGCCTAACTGCACCGAAATGAATGTTGCCCGACACGCCCGCAACACTAAGAAGAAGGGCAAACCACCCTAGCTGAAGTCCCTCCTTTTTACTGATGAAAATTTCAGATTCCACATGCTGAGAGCTCATCTTCAGGAGCTGCTGTCAAAGACAAGCAGAGCGCGCGGGCGCGCCCTCTCCCTCAGCATAACTGACTTCGGTTGGGAGATGGTCAGGAAGACCCCTTAGCCCATGATTTCCATTATCTGCCAGTGCAGAACTTTAGGGAAGACGTGCACTCAGGCCAACTACAGCTGCTTCACAGCAGGCCTGTTGTGTAACAGCTACTGCCACTGCACTGGTTCAGATGATTGCCACAACTTGCTCACGAAGCATGAAGAGAATGAAGAGGTATACAACAGTAGAGTCTTTGATGTTGTAGTGTGGAAGACATTGACCTCGACCATTATGATTACCTGGGTATTCTTTTTTTATTTTTCATGCATTATGTGACAAGGAGGTGAATCCTAGATATTGCGAGACAGCACTTTAAATTGAAAACATTGTAATGTATATTTTTAATTAATCAGTATTCTTCTCAATACATATGCATTTTTCTTGTGACTGTACAGCCACAGAATCAATAAGCTACATGGTGGCTTCGATCAAATGATCAAAATTTAAAAGAATATATTTTGTCTATGAAATATTTTCATGTTTAATAATTGGGAGTTGTTCAAGGATTCCATAAAAAAAAACTTAGGGCACCAACAATTTCCGGATTCACATATATGATTGCCAAATCATTTTACTGGACTAAAAGGAATTTTATCAATTACGCCGACCTTGTTCTATTCCCGTTTAAGAATATTATTGACTGAAACTGTTACTCTGGCTGAAGTTCATATTTCTTTAGATGAAAGAATATAAATTGGAATATTGTTATGTATATTAATGTAATGTCTTTAAAGTTTGCAGTTAGAAATTTTAGGAGAGAAATAAAGTGAAAAACTTTTCGTAGTAATGTAACTGTACGTTACAACAAAGTTATCAAATAGGAAATATTGAGGGAATTTGTTTAGCAGTACACTATGGTTAACCAAAGAATGAACTTTCCAAGAAAAAAATCTGATATTATTTTACTTCAACTTTTCAAACAGACATCTTGGTACCGGTGGATTTGTGGTGGGAGCGCGTGATGTTGGCGGTGTGGATGTTGACGACATTGGTGTTAACACGGAGCTACGCCGGCAACCTCATGTCCCTCCTGGCCGTGAGACACATCTTAGAGCCTTACCAGAGCCGCCGAGTCGTTCTGGATGATCCGTCCGTTACTATGATATGGGAGAGAGGCTCAGCAGTCGGGCGTTACCTGAGTGTATGTATAGGAAACATCGTGCGGTGTTTTACAATCTACTGTTTCATACACCCATAGTAGTCGGCCAGCCAAAGAGAGAGATGTCCTCTAGAAAGAAAATTAAAGGCGTTTTTTGTTAATTGCAGGAACCCACCTTAGGTAAGTAGTATTAAGGATGCCAAACAAGATGTGGTTCGATCTCACTTTCAGTTTTGGGTTTGAAGGTTATATAGAATTTTTTTATTTCAGTGGTGGCTCTATGTAACAACGTGTTTGAAGATGTATCATTACCACATAAAGCATATTTTGGTTATTTAATGGACAATAAATTAATGGAACTATGATTCTGGATGTCTTTATATCAATTCAAAATGCATTCAAACATGCTGGGTGACCTGAGCATAGCATCAGCAAAAGGAAAAGCGAGAACCATGGCTGTGGGTGATGTGTGAAAAAACCTGGGAGATACTTACTGTATTATGTTTTACAAAGACTCGGAAGTCATTCCAAGGATGATTTCCATACACTGTTTATTCTCATCTGAAGGCAAACTCAAAAGGCTACGAAGTCAGCAGCAAACCATGGGTGCTTCGGCGACTTCCAAAAGTGCAGGAAGCCTCCTTCACTGGGTTGACAGTCTGCCTTTTCGCACTACGCGTGACGGTCTTGATGTCATGAAGCTTGTTCAGCAGTTGAAGCAGTTTGACGTCTTCAGAGTTCATGTGACTGAAGCAGGAGATACAGATGCCGCCACAAATATACTACTTGTTTCACTGACAGCCAAACACACTGCAGCCAGAGATGTTGTGGAGAACCTGCTGACAGCACAGGATCAAGGAAAGCAGCATGTAATCGGCTATATGAAGGAGAGATTGATTGGACAGACAGTAGGCTTCCCTGAAACGAGAAAGAAACATCGGTCGAAAACCTTCGCTGATATGTACAAAGCTACAGTTTCCACCAAGCAGAACATGCAGAAGACCACTAAAGCTGACAGAAAGCTACTACAGCGGCTCCTGATCTGTCCCCAGTCCCATTTAGGAGAGATGAATTCGACATCGAAGTCTAAGCTGAGGAACACTCTGATGGCTCAGCAGATGCCCAGAGGTTCCAAACTCTGATCTGAAGACCTGTGTGACGATAGATGGTCATGCACTCACCCAAGCAAGCTATTGGCAAGCCTGACGGCTGTTGAACATTTGGCGACTATACTGAACTTGTTGAAGCGTTCTTCAAGGCCATGATGAGTTATTCTAATGAACACAACAAGAATTTAAGTCATTTTTGATCGGTACACAGGAGAAAGATTGATCAAAACAGCTACCAGGACAAAGCGTGCAGGCAAGAAGAAATCAATTCGGAAAGTCATTGATGGCCCACAAGTTCCACTGCCTGAAATGTGGAAAAATTTCATAGCCCTGGATACAAACAAGGCTGACCTAGCCTTGCTTTTGCCTAACGTTATCACTGAGAAGGGCAGAGACCTTCTAGAAAGATGTGAACTGGTGATAGGGGGTGGCTTCTCTGAAGCTACTGAAGTACGGTCAACCAGGCGACATGCCGTTCTACTGCATAGCAACCATGAAGAGGCGGCCACCAGGCTCATCCTTCACTCATGTGGTGCAGCGTCCCAGGACTAGAAACGAATATTGGTAGTGAGTAGAGACACGGATGTAATGGTGTTGCTGATTTACTTCGTTTGCACCAAGGTCGCTGAAGTGTGGATGTTGTGCGGAACGGCCAAGAACAGAAAATTCTACCCCGTGCACGATTTATTCAACAGTATGTGGCCTCCAGTGAGGGACAACTTGGTCAACTTCCACGTGTTGATCGGGTGTGGGAAAAATAAGTGTTGAAATGTGTTGAGTGACCACCGACTCCTGCTTCACGCCATTGATCGAGATGGAGTTGAGAAGTTTGCGTGTCATTTGTATGGCACCCCGGAACACAGTTGTTGACGCCAGTGTTCACCTTTTTGGGAAGACCAAGAAGACTCTGAAAGTGCTCTCACCGACAAAGGGTGTCCTGGAGCTCCACGCCAAACGGGCAAATTATAAGGCCAGAATATGGCTCCAGGCTGACAAAGACAACGTACAGGGTAAATGCTGATCCGTTGGAAACTTCAGCCTGTAGGTTGGAAAATGGCAGCCTCCTACTAGTGTGAACAAGACTTCCTCCAATCCCCGAAGCCTATCTGGAGCTTGTTGCTTGTGGTTGTAAAAAAAGTGCAAAACAGCTGGGTGCAACTGCTTCAGAAAAAAAGATAAAGTGTACAACACCTTGTGGTTGTGACAACAGCGGTTGCTGTTACCCAGCTGGCCAGTAGACCTTTGTCTCTCTTCCGGGCTGAAATCAAACAAAAAGTTGGAATGTGCTGTAAGAAACTAATAACTCTGTTCTTAAGTGATTGCAATCCACTGTAAAGGCCTGGGAATTAGGGATAGAAATCCCTTACCCAACTAATCAGGTTCTTAATAAAGGAAAGTCAAGGACCACGGTTTTCTGAGGAATAGCAAACAACCATTTGAGATTGACATCTCTTTACTATAAAAAATATAACAAAACTCTGACACCACTCAACAAACATCAAATAATTACGGGAGTCAAACAATTAATGCAGTGAACAGTTAATGGAGTCAAACAATTAATGGAAGCAAACAATTAAAGGGAGCAAACAATTAAAGGGAGTAAATAACTGATAGAATCAAACAATGAACAGATATTTCCTACTGCAGTGGGCCTGGGGGAAGGTTCTGGAACAAGGTGATCCGCACTCAGGGTAGGGAAGCGTCCATTCAACTCCACACTCGAGCGATGTCTTGAAATGGCCGGAGAACACCGGGGCACAGATGGAATGAGATGAACTGACGGTCTTGGTATGTGGTAGTGGTAGATGACCAGAGAATTGACAGTCGATAAGTGAAGGTCTGGGGACACAGCCCACGAGTCCAGGACCTATGATGAGATCACAGCCAGAATTTGACGAACAGCCGGGTAGCTAGATAGTGACTGTATGGCGGCTGGGGTGAATCTGCCGGTGACCCAGATAGTCACTGCCTTTCTCACCTCTGTCCAACCGCCCCAAGTGTCGTCCGCACCAGCAAACGAGAGAGTTAGCAGCGGAAACGAGCAGGAAGATCGTTTCCGCCCTTACATCCACACAGTTATGACTATCAGTACGGCATTTAGTTGTGCTTCATCAAGAAACGTAAATTTGTAGATGTTATTAGTATGTAAACTGTATAGTTATAGGACAATATTTACTATTTTGTGATTTAATTGTGATAACAATTGATCTTGGGCACCTTCGTGCCCGTTGGCGAGTCAGGTGGTACAGTTTACCAAAGCGTCAAAGTTCGAATGCTCTTGCTTGGCTAGCGGGCGTAAATAGAATGGTTAATAAATGCCTTCCAAAAGAAACAATCCACATGGGACCAGGTTTGTTCCACTCTACGATTTTTTTGCGATTTTTCCACCAAGTTTGATGATAAACGATTGTGCCGTTTCGGCTGCCCAGAACAGACACACACACAGACACACGGCTATTCCTATAATATATGAGATAATTATGGTCGTGGTTGTTATAATCATGGTCGTGGTTGTTATAATCATTGTCGTGGTTATTATAATCATGGTCGTGGTTATTATAATCATGGTGGTGGATGTTATAACCATGGTCGTGGTTATTATAATCATGGTCGTTGTTGTGGTTGTTATAATCATGGTCGTGGGTGATATAATCATAGTCGTGGTTGCAATAATCATGGTCGTGGTTGTTATAATCATGGTCGTGGTTGTTATAGTCATGGTCGTGGTTGTTATGATTATAGTCGTGGTTGTTATAATCATGGTCCTGGTTGTTATAATCATTGTCAAGGTTGTTATAATCATGGTCATGGTTGTTATTATCATGGTCCTGGTTGTTATAATCATTGTCAAGGTTGTTATAATCATGGTCCTGGTTGATATAATCATGGTCGTGGTTATTATAATCATGGTCCTAGTTGTTATAATCATGGTCGTGATTGTTACAATAAGGGTCGTACCTGAGACTAACACAGGTAGAATAAACCCCACACCTTATCTTTAATCTCAATAAACCCAGATTAACCTCACCTAATCAACAGGATTAGAGACCATTAGGATTGTACCACCAATACCGATTCATTTCACACTGGATTAATAAAAAAAAAATTTAATCACATTTCCAATAGCTAATGTCTTACGGATATTATTAAATTTTCGCCCCCCCCCAGGCCCCGATGTGGGTCAGTGACCTGTGCCCGGGTGGGCTAATCCCCATAAAAAAAAAAAAAAAGTTAATTTTCCATATCTAACCCTTTCACCGCGTGTCACGCACTAGCCTCCTGTTACCGTCAGATGATTTTATTCAGCGTAGGGTAACCTCCCGCTGTCAAAGGGTTAATACATAAAAATAAATAGATTTTATATATTTATTTAAATGACTTTCAATTCATGCAAAAGGGGATCAACTACTAAACTCTGAGTTCCATTCCTGTAAAACGTCATTTTGATAAATGCTTAAAATAACTTGCAAATAAGACCCGGTTATATTAATTTCTCATTCACGTATGGCTCTTAATTTTCATTAATGCTTTCAGTCTGTTAAGTCTGGTATATACCGGGAGATAGCAGAGGCGGAGAAAGAAGGTCGCCTCATATGGAGAACCCACAAGCAATTTGCTGGGGATATCGATACCTTAGTGCGCCGGGGCGACCACGTCCTTATGGAGGTAGATAGCGGTTTGAAGGCATATGTGTCTCAAGATTTTGGGAAAACAGGTATTGTTCACAGATAGTTTGTCTGGTATTTCATTCATATTTCTTTTCTGTACATTGTGTTCTTCTTGAGCCATCAACCGATGGTTACAGACTTTTCCATTTGAATGTATACAGGGTAGAAAATTAAAAAAGTTTACCGAAGAGGAATAGAACTGAGCTTACACAATGGCATGAGTAGTAAATACGTTGAGAATAAAATCCTGACGTTTTGTTTGTCATTTATTAAATATTTTCATTAGCGACAGTTAGTTGGTGGATGTTAATAAAGTCTAGATATGAAAATATCAAAGGGAATTTGGAAAATTCTTTATAATTAATTTGAAACATGTACATCAAAAGGAGAGAGTTATGTAACTGTGTATATGAAATTGATCAGGTCTCCGACGAACGACTGCTCGAAAATAAATCAGGGCAGTTTTATCAAGTACAGGGCTTCGTGGACTAAGAATGACAAAATAGGTTGTCAGAGTAAGGCAAAATGAATAAGTCAGTTAAGCATTTTGACCTTAAATTAACATTTTTACGTTACTGAGTAAGACTCGATAAAATAAATTAAAATGACTGTATGGAAGTTCAATAAAATATATCTCTTTGTTACAGGGGAATGCTCATTTTACGAATCCAAAGAGGAATTCCTGCCTTTGATGTTTGGAATGATCGGTCCAAAGGATAGTCCCCTGATCCCAGCGTTAAATAAGAGGTATCGTCATTCTTTGTTTGTCTTGACAGGAAAGTTTGTCAATATGAATCATCATAATATTTCAGCCAAAGGACTAATGCTATTCATTAATAACGTGTTTGACTGTAAGCAAATACTGATATGCGAGATGTATGTATTTCTTCTACTTATCATTATTATTATTATTATTATTATTATTATTATTATTATTATTATTATTATCATTATTATTATTATTATTATTATCATTATTATTATTATTATTATTATTATTATTAGTTAGTAGTAGTAGTAGTAGTAGTAGTAGTCGTAGTAGTAGTAGTCCTTGCACTACGACGGAGACTGGGAGGAATGGGATTGTACAATCCAGAGGAGATTGCTGCCACCGAACATCAAAACTCAGTTAAGCTCACAGCAGCCCTCACCAACCACATAATAGCTCAGAATGCAACAGGCATGGTGGATACCATCGAAGTAAACAAGATTCGACGGTATATTAAGACAGAACTACAGCACAGCCAGAGTGATAAGTTGCAGCAATTGATGCTGCAAGTACCAGAGAATTTGAAAAAAGTAGCTATAACGCAGGAGGTGGGCGCCTCGAACTGGTTAACAACGTTACCGATAACGGCAAATGGTTTCAGTCTCAATAAACAAGAATTTACAGATGCCATTGCTCTAAGGTACGGTAGGCCAGTAGAAGGTTTGCCCTCCCAATGCGTGTGTGGCTCTTCTTATGACGTCGATCACGCCATGGTGTGCAAGAAAGGGGGCTTCATATGCATGAGGCATGACGAAGTAAGGGATCTCGCTGCAAATATGTTGAAGGAAATATGTCATGATGTCAGGGTAGAGCCGACCCTCCTTCCATTTGACGGCGAGAACTTCCAACACAGGACTTCAAACACATCCAACGAAGCCCGTGTTGATGTCAGTGCTCGAGGATTCTGGACGCGGTGACAGCAAGCCTTCTTCGACATCAGGATTTTTTATCGCATGGCCGCATGTCACCGTAACTTAGCTCTCGATGCTGCACACAGGATGGACGAGAACGACAAGATAAGGGCATACAGGGAGAGAATTCAGAACGTTGATCAAGGCACTTTCACTCCTCTAGTGTTCACAACCTCTGGTGGGATGGGACCAAGTGCAAGATGCTTCTATGCCAGACTCGCGGAGGTGATATCCGAACAAAAGCAGCAGCCCAGAAGTTATGTTACAGCCTGAATGAGATGTAGACTGTCCTTCTCTCTCCTTCGGTCGGCTTTGCCCTTCCTCAGGGGAACGAGAGCATCGCCCCCAAAGCCGACAACAGTTGCAGATATTGACTATGAGGCTACAGTTACTGGATGCCGCATAGATCTGCGGCTCAACTAACTCAACACAGCTAGGGTAGCTACTTATGTATTAGGATATTTAATTTTAAGGTAATAAAATGGCGGCGAAGGTGTGGCTATTGGGGGAGGCTTGAGGCCACGTTTAAAAAAAAAAGTAGTAGTAGTAGTAATAGTAATAGCCATCAAGGTCGATTTTATCCCAACGTTACTGAAAAACCCTGACTTAACCCCAGCAGATAGGTCACTCCTTGTACTACCACCGAGACTAGGAAGAATGGGATTGACTAATCCAGTGGAGCTTGCCGCTACAGAACATCAGAACTCTGTCAAGTTCACGGCAGCTCTCACTGAGCACATAAGAGATCAGAATGTAGCAAGTCAGGTGGACACCAACGAATTAAACAAGATTCGACGGCCCATTACGACAGAACGGCAGCACACCCAAAGTGGTAAACTGCAAAAACCGTTGCAGCAATTGCCAGACAACTTGAAAAAAGTAGCTCTATCGCAGGAGGTGGGCGCCTCGAACTGGTTAACAATTTTACCGATAAGGGCAAAAGGTTTCATCCTTAATAAACAAGAAGCTGTGGCACATCGTATGACATTGACCACGTCATGGTGTGTAAGAGAGGGGGATTTGTATGGATAAGGCATGACGAAGTAAGGGATCTTACAGCAAATATGTTGATGGAAATTTGCCATGATGTATGAGTAAAACCGACCCTCCGTCCATTGGACGGTGAGAATTTCATTCACAGGACTTCAAACACATCCAACGAAGCCCGTGTTGACGTCAATGCTCGAGGATTCTGGACGAGGGAACAGCGAGCCCTCTAACAAGGATTTTCGATCCCATGGCCGCATGTCACCGTAACCTAGCTCTCGATGCTGCACACAGGAGGAACGAGAATGACAAGAACAGGGTATATGGGGAGAGAATTCTGAATGTTGTTCAAGGCAGCTTCACTCCTCTGGTGTTCACAACCTATGGTGGGATGGGACCAAGTACAAGATGTTTCTATACCAGACTCGAGGAGGTGTTATCCAAAATGAAGCAGCAGCCCAGAAGTTACGTTACATCCAGTTTGAGATGTCGACCGTCCTTCTTTCTGCATAGATATGCATTGCATTGCCTCAGAAAAACGAGATCTTCGGCCCCAAAGCCGACAACGGTCGCAGTTATTGACTATGAGGCAATAGTCACTGATTTCCACGTAGATCTGGGCTCAACTAACTCAACATAGCTAGGGTAGCTACTTTTGTATTAGGATATTTAATTTTAAGGTAAAAAAATGGCGGCGAAGGTGTCGTTATTGGGGGAGGCTGGAGGTCAATTAAAAAAAAAAGTAGTGGTTGTAGTAGTAGTAGTAATGGCAGTAGTAGTTTCTGTATCCTTATTTCATCTTTTAATGTATTTATTACACTTTTATATATACATTTCATATGATATTTCATACCATACAAAGTGTGATTTTCTTACATACTGAACGTTTTTTTTTTACACCAAACAGGATCACATCTATGACGGAGGCAGGGTTGTTCTTCCAATGGCTTAAAACTGACGAGCCAAACTCTACAGTGTGTTACAGAGCGCCTACGAAGATCACAGTCAAGTCAACTCTCTCTCTTACTAATACCTGGGTGGGGGATTCCTTATATGTATCAGAATAATAGTGATTTTGACAATAATCCTATCTGAAGCAATGTAGATACTTGATCAAAAGACTTATGCAACGTGAGCGTCATTGTCACTGATAAGAGATATCTTCTTACATTCCAGGGGATGTTCGTGGTCATCGTTACTGGACACACTTTCAGTTTGTTGGTACTGTGCCTCGAGCTTCTGAGCCATCAACGTTAACAAATCTGGAGGAATCCATAACCAGGCTCTTGGTTATAGGTATTTCAAAATCGAAGTCGGTTAACAGAAATATACGTTAATTTTCCTCATACTTTTAACCACAGTCTGATAATTCAATTTCGATTAAATTTTCGTTGATAACTTTTTTTTGTCCTGGGTAGGTGTATGCGATCTCACATCTCCATTTAAGAAGAAACTATTGAGGGTGTAAATGTGTTTATCTTATTATTATTTTCTTTTCAGTGTGATTTTTATTGTCTTTGGTCATCACGTCACTATTACTTCTATACGAATATAAGGTCATGTCCTCATGAGGTTTTCACTTTTTAAATCAAAGCATCAATAGGTAGCGGCTATGTAGACCAGAGTAGTTTAACTACCACATTCTCAGTAGGCAAGAGCAGTATGTAACTTGTGAACTTTTCTTTATTTAACTAGTTGAAATCATCTAGGCCACCGAGTTCTTTTTGGCATAAACAATATGTAGTCATTAGTTTTTCTCCACTGTATCAGAAATAATTTTTGTACTGACTAAACTGAAGTTATTACAAATTGCGAGAAATTTGAATAGGTTTTTGTCATAATTCTGTGCAATCTGTCTTGAGTTTGGCGTGAGTAAACCCGAGAAATCTGCATGTAACTCCAGTGTTTTACTATAACCAAGTGATTGCTTATTGATGTATTACTCTCTCTTTCTCTCTCTCATGATAACAAGCTGGAGATAAGCTTAAAACCCAACTTTAGAGGCCCAGGATCTAAGGATCACGATTTGGGGTAAAAAGGATTTGGTTCCCGATTTTCAAGAAGGGGGATAGGTAGATCACTATCCTCAAACTACCAACCAATTAGTTTAACATCAATTGTAGGCAAATTACTGGAAGAAATAATGTTAAACTCAATTCGAAATCACACCAGAGACACAAATTGATCAATGATTCCCAGCACGACTTCACAAATGGGCATTCATGTCTGACAAATCTATATCATTATTTTCAACTGTTTTCGAATCAGTTGATGACGGACACGACTATTATGTGGTTTACCTCAAATTTAGTAAAGCCTTCGACAGGGTTCCCCACGAAAGACTAACACGTAAGGTGGAAGCATATAAAATTAGACGAGCTATCCTAAGATGGATTAGGGGGTGGTTAGAAGGTAGGTAACAGGATCAGCATTACTAGCCCTAAATCCGATTGGGGTAACGTCAGTAGTAGAGTACTCCAAAGCTTGGTACATGGACCACTACTATTTATTATATACATAAGCGACATACATATAAGCGTGAAATTGTCACTCCGAAGGGGGGGGTTTCGCCAGTAGAAAGGGGTCGGGGAAAGTGGGAGTAAAAAAACAAGCAGGTCCTGGGAAGTAAAATTAGTTGCTCAGGACAAGGGGTAAAACAGGACCAGGGAAGGGTAGGTTTAAATGTATACTATACAAACAGTAGGAGCGTTAGAAATAAAATAGACTTGCTGAGAGCGGTTGTATGTACCGAGAATGTAGACGTCATAGCAATCACCGAAACTTGGATGAATCTGGCGAGCAAAATTTTTTTATCAGAGTACCACATAGAAGGGTACAACCTTTTTCACAAGGACAGGGAAGGTAGGAAGGGGGGAGGGGTCGCACTCTTCGTCAAGGATACATTAAAATGTTGTACTAATAATTCAATAAAGGGTGAAATAGGAACCGAGTCTGTGTGGGTAGAAATCACGGAAGGAAGAGAAAAACTAATTATGGGAGTGATTTACAGGCCCCCAAGTCTTGGCAAAGAAGCAGCTCAGCCCATATGGCAGGAAATGAGTAGGGCAGCAAAATATAACAACCTATGCATTATGGGGGATTTCAACTTCAGAAATATTGACTGGGACAACATTGTAGGCGACTATGAATCTGAAGACTTCCTAGACGCAGTACAGGACAATTTTTTGAAACAACTAATTACAGAACCTACTAGAGGTGACAATATATTAGACCTAGTATTAACAAATAAAGAAAATATTATCAGAGATATCACAGTAGGGGAAGAACTAGGTAACAGTGATCACAGAGAAATCAGGTTCACCCTAAATTGGGAAACGAAAAACAATGACAATATGGTCAGAGTCCCAAACTTTCGGTTGGCGGATTATCAGGGGTTAAGAAGGTACCTAGGTGAGGTCACCTGGGAACAGTCACGTCAGTTCCCAGTAGGAAGGGGTGAGGTCATAGATGACACAACAATTGATCATGACTATAATATATTCACTAGTATACTACATAAAGCACAAGAACAAAATATACCACACAGAAAAATTAGGTCAAATAAGAATGAGCCAAGGTGGATGACCAGAAAACTTAAACATGACATAGGAATAAAGAAAGGAATTTATAAGAAATTAAAGGGAGGGGAGGAGCAGCTCAGAAACAGGTATAATGAACTATCTAGGAATGTTAAGAAAAATGGAAGGAAAGCAAAGAGAGACTATGAAATAAAAATAGCAAGAGAATCCAAGGCGAATCCCAAGGGATTTTTCCAGGTATATAGGACAAAGGTCAAGGACAAAGTTGGGCCTTTAAAGTCAGGGAGGGGAGAATTGATAAATGGCAGTGAAGAAATAAGCACAGCATTGAACAGCTACTTCTTATCAGTTTTCACAGAAGAAATTTGCGATGAAATTCCGGAGGTAGAACTGATATTTAAGGGAAAGGAAGAAGAGAAATTAAAGAATATCACTATCAGAAAAGAGGATGTTCTTAAGAAGATAAATAAACTAAAGAATACAAAATCCCCAGGGCCGGATGAAATTTTTCCTCGAGTCTTAAAAGAATGTAGGGAACAGATTAGCGGACCCCTCGTAAACTTATTTACAAAATCTTTAGACACTGGAGTTGTGCCAGAGTTGTGGAAACAGGCAAATGTAGTACCCATATTCAAAAAGGGAGACAGAGCATCAGCGTCAAATTACCGGCCGATCAGTTTGACGTCAGTAGTGGGGAAATTTCTTGAATCAATTATAGCAGATAGCATCCGATCGCATCTAGAGAAAAGCAAATTAATCTACGACTCTCAACATGGGTTTACAAAGGGAAAATCTTGTCTAACAAATCTGCTAACGTTTTTTAGGAAAGTCTTCGAGGTAGTAGATAATGACGAAAATTACGATGTTATTTACTTAGACTTTAGCAAAGCATTTGACAGAGTACCGCATCAGAGGCTTCTGAGAAAAATTAAGGCTCATGGTATCGAGGGGAAAGTTTTAAATTGGATAAAATCATGGCTCACCGATAGAACGCAGAGGGTCAGCGTAGATGGTGTTAAATCTGAGTGGGGCCGTGTAACCAGTGGGGTTCCCCAGGGGTCAGTACTAGGCCCACTCTTGTTCATAATCTACATAAACGATTTAGATACTGGGATCAGCAGTGACATAAGCAAGTTTGCGGATGACACCAAAATAGGGCGGCAAATTAATTCAGGGCAGGATGCAAATGCATTACAGGAGGATCTAAATAAACTGCAGGGGTGGTCTGAAAAATGGCAAATGAAATTCAACACCAGCAAGTGCAGCGTACTTAATATTGGAAGAACAAATACTTATAATGTATACAGCCTGAACAACATCAACCTAGAGAAGTCGACTTGTGAAAGAGACCTAGGGGTACTTGTAAGCCCGGACCTACGGCCTAGAAAACAGTGCGTTAATGTTCGAAATAATGCAAACAGAGTATTGGGTTTTATATCTAGAAGTGTAAGTAACAAGAGTGCAGAGGTCTTATTGCAACTATATCTTGCGCTAGTTTGCTATGTCACAGCTCTTACAGTACAACTGCTTTGCCAACTACAAGGTAGGAACACAAATCCACAGACACTCCAAGGACCATGAGACACCTTTTGCTGTCTACGTCGGCATGTCTGTGTTTGCTAAGACAAGAAAGAGGCAGCTCGTCGACATGCTGCATGAAAATGGGGTCAGCATTTCACATGACAGAGTTCTACAATTATCAGCCCCGCTAGGAGAAGCAGTTGTATGCCAGTACGTGGAAGATGGAGTGGTGTGTCCACCTATCTTGAGGAAGCAGTTGTTGACGACTTCAGCAGTGGACAACATTGACCACAACCCCACTGCGACTACGGCCAAAACGTCCTTCCATGAGACCAGTGTGTCCATCTTCCATCATCCAAGCCCTGAGTAGGCTGGAGCGTTACAGGATCCAGTAAGACTCCCCAAAACTGGAGAAGCTTTCTGCTAGATGACAAAAACAAGACAGAACTATTCCATTTTCTCGCTGAGAAAATGTGTGAAGCACAGACGACAAGCACGGTGGTTGTGACAAAGGGAGAAGATGCCATAAGCAACACAGAGAAGTCCCTAGAAGCTGTGGCTCCATGCTGTCATGAGGAAGCAGACACACGAATATTTGTGCATGCTATGGATGCAGCAATGAAAGGTAGCAAGTCCTTTATTATTAAAGCCAATGGCACTGACGTGGTCGTCATAGCAGTATCTGTACTGCCATTACTACAGGAGCTTGTTCTTAATAACATGTGGATTGCCTTTGGCCAAGGAGCCAGTCATCGATGGATTACAGTTCATGATGTAGTTTCTGCGATAGGGCCTATGAAAGCTAGTGGGATCCTATACTTTCATGCTTTCACTGGTTGTGACGTTGTGCCTGGCTTCCGTGGGAAAGGAAATAAATTTGCATGGCGGATATGGAATGTCTGTGATGAAGTTTCAGAAACATTCACCAAACTCAGCCAATGTCCAACAAAAGTTGCTGATGTTGACCTGCAGAAGCTCGAAAGATTTGTTGTCCTCATGTACGACAGATCAAGTGCAGCCACTGGTGTAGATGAGGCAAGACTAAATCTCTTTTCCCGCAAGCAGAGACCATATGACTCCATTCCACCAACCCGGGCAGCCTTCAAGGAACATGCAAAGCGGGCTGCCTACCGGGCTGGTATCATCTGGGGTCAGGCAACAATCTCCAATCCAGAAACCAGCAGTCCTGTCAACTGGGGATGGACGCAGAAGGGAGAGGCATGGCAGATACGTTGGACGACTCTTCCCCCGATTGAGACATGCTGTCAGGAGCTGACCAAATGTTCCTGTACGAAAGACTACAACCAGAAATGCAAATGCTTTAGCTCTGGACTCTCCTGCACAGCACTTTGCAGCTGCATATGTGAACAGAAGTAAATGCACAAAGATGTACTGTTAGGAGAAGTCACAGGAACCAGCGCTAGTAGTGAGTACTTTTTTTTTTTAGTAAGTTCTTTTTTATTATATTTTTTTTTACTAAAAGTGTTATTTTATGTGGATAAATATGTTACAATGGCCTTAAAACTAATCATCTGAGCATGCTTGAAAACATTCATATCGACACCAAGATCACTCAAATTGACCAACTACATCAATTTCTATAAGAAAAATCAATTTTTGAAGGTCAATATGGCTGCCATCTAGAAAAATGGCCGCCATCTTGGATTTTCAAAAGGCCAATCAGGCAGACTTGACTAGTAACCATTAGAAAATTACCATGCCAAATTTGGTGCTTGTATCACCATTTGCATGATTCTCTTGAAAATGGGGAGGTGGGGGGTTAGCCAGTAGAGGTCGGGGTGAGGAAGTCAAAAAAGCAGGCCCTGGGGGAATAAAG